TATGTATGTACATGCATGAATGTATTATAGTATTGAGATCAAAACCAGGCCCTCATGAGTGCCAGACAGTCTGCCACTGAGCTATATAACCCCTGCCCCTCCTCATTTTCACAGATGGGGTCAGACTGGTCTTTAACTTACGAGATCCTCCCACCACAGCTTCCCAAGTAACTAGAACAGAGACATTCAACTTTATATTCAACTCTATTTTTCAACATGACTGTATTATCTTATATTGCAGCCAACAAAGCAGGAGTATGAGGGTTCTGATTAGCCTTCATCCTTGCCAGTGTTTGATGCTGTCAGCCTGTTTCATGTTAGCTTTTGCAGTGGGTACATTATTAGTATCTCTCTGTGGCTTTACTTTAAAATTCCCTGAAAACTAGAGCATTTTTTCATATATATGCTAGGCACTTATGTATTTTATTGTGAATGCCTGTTTGAGTCTTTTGACTATTTTTAAATTTTTTAAATGATCCGTCAGTTCTTTATAAATTCTGGAACAAATCCTTTATAAGATATATGTACATATAACACAACTATCTTCTCCAAGCCTTTGACTTATTCTTGGAGACACAGTCTTGCTATGTAATTCAGGCTGACTTTGAACTCACAGCAGTCCTCCTCCTGCCTCAGCCTCCTGAGTTCTGGGATTACATGGATGCATCACCACACCTAACCTATTCACTTTTATAAAAGGCATCTTTCAATGAACAGGAATTTTAATTTTGACAAAAATCTCTCTTTTTCTTTTTCCAGTACCAGAGATCAAACTCAGGACCTTGGCACGGTGCCACTGAGCTAAATTCCCCAAAACATTTCTTCATACCATAATACTGGAGAAAGATTTTTAACAACATGAGTTGGCGAAAAGTGTTTTCTTTTGTGTGTGTGTGATACCAGGAATTGAACTCAGGACCTTGCACTTATGAGGTGAGTGTGGCGCCACTGAATTAAATCCCCGGCCTGCTTTTATTTTTTATGGCTATTGAATTGTCTATTCTGAGAAACTGTTACCTTCTTCATGTCATACTGTCCTATGATTTTATCTCAAAGACACTGTTTTACACTTAAGTCTGTGAGTCACTTCAAGTTCATTTTTACGTGTTGAATAAGGAGTTAAAGTTGAATTTTCTTCTATATCATTATCAAACAGTTCCAGTAAAATTTTATTGAAACAATTTTCTTTTCCCCCTTGAGGTTACTTTGCACGTTGTTAAAAACAAAACCAAAAACAAAAAAACAAACTGACTTATTCACCTACTTCTACTTGGCTGTCTGTCTATATTTATAATGACCTATTTGTATCTCTCTCTCTCTCTCTCTCTCTCTCTCTCTCTCTCTCT